TATATAGTGTGTGTGTAGGAGGATGTTCATGTGAGAATATATAGAGTCATTCATAATATATGCACCCTGCCTGTCTAAATCCACCTGTATCTATGTCCTTGTTAGGACTCCATGTCCCAGGTGTCCAGAGTGTCAAGTAACAGCTTTTGGACTGGCCAGGCACTACCACTCTTCTAGGAATCTGTTCTTTTTGTGCCCACTGAGAGTGCACATGGGCACTTCTCTACAGAACTTCCATTTCCCTTCATTATAGAACTGAAATGTCTCTCTTTCTAATATACCTCGAACCAAAGTTAGCACTCTGACTCTGAACTCCTGAGCCCTGGGCTCAGATAAATATAGAAATTGCCACATGGAACCTTGATTTACTTCTTTTGTAGCCTATGAAATCTTTGAATACTGTGTTTATGCCTGTGACTTCAGAGGTTAACATAGAGTCTACTAGACAGTTAATATTCAATGTTCCTTTTATCAATGAATGAATCAGTTCTTCTTACAATGACCGCTCTGTGTGCCGAAAGAACAAATCATTCTCTTGGCTCTTCCTATGTCCCTGAGAGGACATAGCTTGTGTGCAGTAATAGAGAGGATTCTAAAAGAACACTACTTTCTCTATTTTTGATTGTTCTATGGTTGTTCAACTCTTGGGGAACTGTTTTGACCAACTCATCTCCTGGCCATGTTTAGTGCTTCATATTAAACAACGACCATCACATTGTTCTTTTTTCTTATGAGTAATCTTTATTATCCTTTCTCATTTTTTCCTAATTGTCTAGTCAATTATCTAGTAATTACTGATGATAAACAGATGATCATATTTGTTCCAATTAAATTCAGTCCCTCCCCCCACAGTCTTGGATACGTGTAGACATGACGGGAATACAGGAGAACAAATAGGAACATATGAATTATTGTAGGCAGAAATAGAATATATGATACAAGTAGGAGGAAAAGACCCAAGAGACACGGTCAGAAAATAGTTCTAAGGGGAGCAAACTCCATGAAAACAAACCCACAAGCTGCCTCCAGAAAACTGCACAGTGCAACTGTCTCATGCTCTTATCCCAAGATACAAACCTTGCTTTATTAGCCTTCGGCAGAGGGAATGAGTTTTTTTAACCCAAACTCATTCTTTTTTAAAAATAAAGATTTATTTATTTTTATGTCTATGAGTACTGTATCTGCATATACACCTGCATGTCGAAAGAGGGCATCAAATCACATTATAGATGGTTGTGAGCTACCATGTGGTTGCTGGGAATTGAACTCTGGACCTCTGGAAGAGCAGCCAGTGCCCTTAATCACTGAGCCATCTCTCCAGCCCCCAATCTCATTCTTAATGCTAGGCCTAAATGTCTGTGTTGACTCAAATATTCATATAATGATATCTTTACTTCCCCCCAAGGTGACAGATTTAGGAGATGGAGTCCTTGCTGTGGGATCAGTCCTCATGGCGAAGCCTACTTGAATAGACTTAGCACCTATAGAAGACGCTCAAGAGAAACATCAAGTCTGTCGCCATGGAAAGACAAACCATCTGGCACTATCTAACAGATAGCAGGACCCCTGCCAGGAAACTAATCAGCCAATTTCCTGATCTCAGATGACTGAGCTTTCAGAAGGGGGAGAAGTAAGTATCTGTTGCTTGTAAGTAACCCTGTCTAAAATATTTTGTTACAGAATCCAAAAATGAATGACATCTCTTAGCAACAGGACCCTCAATTAACGTGGGGCAGCAATACATCTAGTTATCAGGGACATTGCTGGAGTCACCGAGAATAAGAAGCTGTGACTATATATGGTCAATGTTATACAAGCAGAAGTGATAAGTAGGTTTCATGTCTACCTGCCTTTAAAAAGGAGTATTTTTTTTCTATTTCGTTTATTTCTTTTGGTCTTCTTTCCTTCTTGTTGTATGGAACACAGAATTGATGACTGATTTTCAGGATCCAATTTGAACTATGAGACAAGGACCGAGTCCCTGACACTGAGATCTGTGGCACCCACGTGGCCATACGCATAGAAGCCCTTAATATTGCTTAGATTTAGACTCTGGACATGAGAGTATCATCCACTACTTGTATAAGACATATCTATTTTTAAAAAGGTTTTGTGCACACTTTATACATGCACGCTGTATCTACACTGCTCCCTCCCACATCCTTCTCCACGTCCTCCTCCACTTCCTTCTGTATCTCACTCCCCCTCACAAATCCATACGGATTATTGATTACGGATTATTGATAACATGAATATAAAACCTACTGAGTTCATTTAGCATTGCTTATATTTACGCAGGCCCAGAACTGACCACTTGGGATCAAGCGGTGCACAGGAGCTCATTCCTGGAGGGAAATGATTCTCCCCCTCTCAGCAGCCACTGACCACCTGAAGTCCTTAATCCAGGGGTGAGACCGTGTAGAATTTCCCTGTCCACACCTGACAGGACGACTGGCGTTAAAAAATGCCAGCCTTACTCGGACAACCATATTGCTGAGTCTTGGGGCCACTTTCAAGCAGGAGGTGTCCTGGGTCCCCGGATACTATGTCATGGTTTTCTAAACTTACTATTAACTAATATGCTACTCAGCTTTCGAGGCCTTATGATCTAGAATAGGAATACTTGGCAGAATGTAAACATTTAACTGGAAGATAAGTATCTAATTATGTGCTATTATTGTATTTATGAAAAATAAAATTGTAAGAAAATATTCTTTTAATTTACCAGAAAAACTACCTCATTAAAAACAAAATTATAAATGTGTATGAACATGGAAACATAGAAGAGATATCTAGGCACTTAAAGCAAAATTATAAAGTAAGCATATTAACATGGAAACAGAAGGGATATGTATGTAGGTGCTATGTCTGACTATGTGTATTTAACTTTTGCTTCCTACAGTGGTGAAATGGTATATCTAAAGTTTAGACAGTGACACTGTGTGGTGGTGGCTTGCCTGGAATAACTGTGAAGCTGAGATAGGAGGTTCACCCCACATGTTTGAGGCCAACATGGACTGCAGAGTGAGCTGGAAACCACCCTGATACACAGAGCAATACTGTCTCTCAAAACAAAAAGAAAGACAAAATAAAAAACGAACATGTAAACAAAGTCACTGCAATAACAGAAGTATCATATTGACTTATCTATGTTGAGTTTTAGAGGGGACTTACAATACATTTTGGCTTTGAAATATCTGAGTTCTTATTCTTGAGCCACTAACAATGAACCATGGGACTGGGGAAAGATATTTGAACTTTTTGGTTCTTAGCAAAATGAGAATGTCAAAAAGTTAATATTAAAGTTACTTGGAGAACTAAAATTCTGGGGATTTTCAGCATGCATTTGCTTCAACGAATATTTTACTGTACTTTCCCTATCTCCTCTCTGTAGTAAAGTGTTAAAATCAGTCAATTATGTTCTCTCTCTAGCTCTAAGGAAGAAGGTTGTCTATAAATACAACTGCTATAGAAGAAGACATCCAGTAACTCCAGATACCTCCTCTGTGTTTCCATAATGGTTTTTGTAAGTACCTACATGATATGCACACAGAGCTCCTTAAGACAATGGTTCTCAACCTTCCTAATGCTGTGACCCTTTAATACAGTTCCTCATGTTATGGTGACCTCCAGCCATAAAATTATTTTTGTTGCTACTTCATAACTGTAATTTTGCTACTGTTATGAATCATAATGCAAATATTTTTGGAGATAGAGGTTTGTCCAGGGGATCACAGCCCACAGGTGAGAACTGCTCACTGCCTTAGATGCTATGGCTTATGGGCTTAGGAGCCACTCCTCTAGGACCCCTGAGTTTCCCCAGTGGAGTGAATGCAGGAAACACTGTTCCTGTGTGAGGCAGTGGCCTGTATATGCAGCAGGATTAACAAGTGTTTGCTGAAGAGATGAGTGAATGGCTGCTGTGTAGAGACGGATGCCAGGAGACTCAGCTTTCATGTGGTGATACTAAGTTTTGTTTCTTTTTTTCTAGAGTCAAACGTTTTGGTTGAGCTGTTGCATATTTGTTGATCACCAACTTTAGGAACACTGGCTTAATGTTTGGAAGTTGTTTTATTTCTGGCTAGGTTAGCACTGTCTACCTCAAAGGTGGCTGGTACACTTCTTGGGAAACCCAGCTAGGCAATGCCCAGGATAACCTAATCAATGTAAGCTATATGTCTTCAGACAGATGTTTTCTTATCATTGACTTTTTCAGTTCTGGTTCTCTACAAGAAACACTGTATCATGCTAAGGTCAAGGTCAGCTTCTCTCTTCCAGCCCTGGCCACTGTCGGGAGGAAGACAACATTCACCCTGACTGTTGGGATCCATAGCTGAATCTACATAAGCATATTCTCTAGCTTCATTGTGTCCTTTCTATAAACTGTAAAACTACCATGGGGAATGCAGACACAGACTGAGAAGCAGCGCTATCCCCAGTTTTAAAGAAGACCGGAAGTAAATCTGTTATTCCACTTTATATATTTTATATAATTTTTCTCTTGATATGGCTGAATGGCCAGACCCAGAGCCAAGCTATTTTGGCGGTGAGCTCTAGTAAACAGGTGAGGTTACCCTGTTCTCATTATCCTGTATTCTATCTAAATGAACCGTCCCCTCTCCTCATGCACACTCCTAAGGAAAAGCAAAGAAATTTACGAAGGCCAGTGGCTTTGTCACCACACACCCTGCTGTTCCCTGCTCCCCTGCCTGTTCCACACAGGCTGACTCCTGCATGTCTTCCAGAGCAGAATTAACTCAACTAGTATTCTGACACTGGTGTCCTACATTCCATATCACTGAGCGCCCCCCACCCGAGGAAAGACAAAAGGTGACCCAAGTGTCATTTATATATGTCCCAGTCATTCCATGACCAAGGCCAAGCCATTTAACAGCCACATTAAAACATGTATAAATAGAGACATTGGGAGTTGAAGTAAAATCAGGTCATTAGGTAAAAATAGATTTCAATAAAGGTAAGATGTCAGCATCAGAGCATACCGCAGTACCCTGGGGTTCCACACACTGTCTTCATGAGCACTTGATGTTCCACGATTTTAGAAAGTCCAAAATCAGCTAGAAGTACAAGAGAAGAAGTTAGTGCACTGACACTTTTCTCAGCTTTTATAAGTACCCTTGCTTTTCAAAAACAAAACCAATGTACCTGGTGATACAAAACCAATGATCCAGTGCTGGGGTGGAATGATCCAATGATGTGGGTGGAAACCAGTCGCCTCAGAAAAAGCCAAAGAAAGTAGTAACTAATGCCTTTCTTTAGCTTGGAAAACAAATCATTACCCACAAATACATTTACGGATAATTTATAATGCTTGAATTTTCTCTAAATCTCAAATACATTACCATGTTTTTAGTTTTCTTTGTTATTCATTTTCTTAGTAACTCCAAAAGACAATATAGACTTAGTGATATAAGTCAGAGTCTTTAATTCACAGGTGAAATAAAAAAGATTTTCATAGATGCCATGGAAATAAACAGAAATATCAAAAGCTTATTCTGATTGAAAATAAACAACATTACTTCCTAATGGTTGACAGATAATAATCCATGCTCCTGTAATCAAAATATTTTATTTGTTCCTCTGTATATTACCTAGGTAAAATATTATCCAAGTTGCTACAATGCTGACCTATTGCTGGATGACCTCTCTTCAAAACTCTCAGAAAGCTGCTTGAGGCCATTCTTCAAGAGAGGCAGCTGCAGAATGGATGCCATTTTAGACTTCAAAGATAATACCCACATTTCCACAAGGCCCCTGACCACATCTCCAAACACAACAGGCAGCCTTTCAGAAAGAAAGCTTTCCTGCACGAATTAGTGTCTATCCATCCATCTAAAGAGATTTCTTTAAGGATCACCTCTTTGAAAGTGATGTGAAAGGAAATGGAGACCCCCTGCTTCCCGCTGTCTTTCAGGAGTGATTACCAGAACAAGCTGGCTGCCCAGCAGGCTTTTTAGAGTGCTTTCTTAGATTCTTGCTCTCAGGACACAGCCTGAACTCTTCCCTAGTAGAACAACTTAATTTTCAGAGGTGTTAACACTTGTAAATCCACTGAACATATCAGCTTACCTCTAAAAGAGAGCCAAGAGGAGAGTAACACCCCTCAGTGGCTTTTATAGAGATTCTGCTGAAGAGAAGTCACCTCTTAACCACTTATAATTAATTGTCTTTGGAAATGAAAATTTGTTTCATCAAGTATATGGAATATAAAATGTAATGTATTTTCCTCCTGAAGGGCTACTTTCAATGGGCAGATAAGACTTGCCCAAAGTTTATCTTTATAGTTTTTCTGAACGCTTATAAAGTGGGTGGGTTTCTACAGTCAATGAAGTTTGAGAAACTCTTGTATAAATTTTGGTATGTTGGTCTATACATGAGCATTTTAGGGTTCTATAAAGCAATGCAGAATTAAAATATTATTTGATTTGGGTTTTTCTAGCCTTTTTGTCCAACAATAAGCCCTTTGTAAAATTATGTCCTCACAATTACACAGAAAAGGGAGTTTTTACCTAGATTAGGCAACAGCATCTTGTGGAAAACAATCTGGAAATATGGTCTTTGAGTTTTCTCTGTTAATAGAAGCAAGAGATTTGGAGTCTATATTGACTAATTTGTAGCAAGTATTTTGTGTTAAAGTTCTTCATTATGTCAGGTTGAGCTCCAAATAACTGGGCAATTCAAAGTTTGGAACCAAATCACAAGAAGCATTTTCACTATAAACTTATTTTATAAACACAAGGCTATCTCTCAGGGTCCTTATCATTACTAAGCACCGAGTCTGGGACTCATTGGAATTCCCAGCAATGGCGCAGGTTAACGGCCCAAGGGTATTAACTAACAAACAATTCACTGTTACTCACAGATGCCAAGAAATTGGACAGAGGCAATCCTGGATAGAACAAAATGGATAACTTCATCCAGCAAGTTATTTCTGCTTGGGAAAAAATGGGTCATGAAACATTAGAAAACTTTCTTACCAATTTTGAGTGGTGCATCAGGGGCTGGAGTTGCGTAGAGAAGATTCTCTGGTTTGAGATCACGATGGACAATCCCATTTTCATGGAGGTACTACACAGGGAAGACAATGAAGTTACAGTGGTATAATTTTATTTATGGTTCTGATATCTATGTTTGATGTTTTAAGTTCTACCATAATCTTATGGCTCAACAACAAGCATTAGGATTTTTAAGTGCATATCACAAAGAAAACTATACTTAAAAGCACACAGAACCGGGGAGAGTTTATGAGAACTGGGGATGTATATTAGCATAGAGTGCTTTCCCAGTCTGGGAGAGGCTCTCAGTGAATCCAGAGACTCTCTCTTTCATCATCTGCTTCTACTAAATTCATAACTAAGTTCTGTCCATTTTTAATTCCAAAATTTTCTCCAAATTGTCCTATTTCTTCATGTCATTACCCTGATTTGTTTCGTTCAAGTTAGTCTCCAGCAAAGAACAAAGAAGCTGTCATTTGTTCTCCTTGGAAACAGGATGCTGGCTGAGAGGCAGGTTCTAGATGCTGCTGGCTAGGAAAGTCTGGGTGTCAGGTTAGAGTGGTCAACAAGACAAGAGGCAATGAAGAACGCTAGGACTCTAACTCCTACTCTGGCTGTGGCTGAGTCTCCCAGTTTACCAGTGTGGAGGATCATGAGTAGATATGTTTTCAGACATGTTCAAACACACATGTCATAACATTTTAGTAAATGTGTATCTCTCAGTTCTATGACAGTGGTTTTTAATCTACATTAGTTCCTCCTAAATTCAACTCAAAAACTAAAACCGTTCACTCAGTTAAACTTTTAATGAAACATGTATTTCTTTTGACAGCAATCACTAAATGGATCACAATCACTTTGAATAACTATCACACAAGAAGGCAATGGCCAGCAGGTAGGCCTGGTTTTAAATACACAAATCTTATGCTGAGAGAATACAAGCGTATAAAGAAAATAAAGTAGCATACAAATGAACAGCACATAAAACTTGTTTGCATATAGGACTAGAGCAAGTGCCTGGTGAGAAGCAACTTCTCTCAGGATGCTGAGAATGTTTAAAAAGGAGGGGTGTGTGTGATTGATTCATGTTCTCATTTTCACTGTATAATGCCAGGTTTCAGAGAAGAGGAGATTTCAGGCTAGAGGCCACAGAAATGTTTGGGTAATTAGACATTATATTAAAAAATAATACATAGTGTGGGACAACACACAAAAATGGTCTGCAGTTACAAAGAAATAAGCTACAAGTAAATTACAAAGAAATAAGCTACAAGTAAATTTAAATTATATATATATATATATATACATCCAGAATGGGCATCAAGGATTATCTGTCCAGTCTGGGCATCTGTGAGGCAGGCAGAGCTGGGATGAAAGGAGAAAGCACTCCAGTCTCAGGGGACAGGTGGCTTTTGCTCAAAGTGGAGAAGGAGTGGTATTGAAGATGATGGGATGATGGCGCCTTACACAATAGCATATTTTTTTTGGTTGTTTGAGACAGGGTTTCTCTGTGTAGCCCTGGCTGTCCTGGAACTCACTCTGTAGACCAGGCTGGCCTCGAACTCAGAAATCCACCTGCCTCTGCCTCCCACATTCTGGTGTGCACCACCACTGCCCAGCCTAGCACATGCGTTATACACTGAAAAGTCAGAGTGATGCTGGGCAGTAGCACGGTAAGTACGAAAGAGTGTGCTTCACAAGTGGGAGGAACTGACTTAGGGTCCTCAGATGTCACATAAAGCTTGGCACAGTACTGCATCTGAGCCATTGGTCCTCTGGCAAGATGGAGGTAGAGATAGGAGAATTCTGGGAAGCTGAGACAGCTAGTCTGGAGTAGGCAAAATGAACAAGAGACCTCTCAAACAAAGTCAGTGATGCTGCTGAGATTGTCTTTTGACTTCCAAATACATTCCATGACACAAGTGTGTGTGTACATGTGCAAGCCCACCCACCCACCACCACCCAAACTACCACAGAGTGAGAGAGAGAGAGAGAGAGAGAGAGAGAGAGAGAGAGAGAGAGAGAGGAATGAGGAGGGAGAGAGGAAGGGAAGGAGCTGGGGAGAAAAAGGAGTTGACATTGGGATGTATTAAAGGAAAAATAACAGTATTTGGCTGCAAATGAAAGGTAAATCAAGTACGAAAAGAAAAAATTTGAGCATTTCTCTTAAAAAACCTTTTAATTCACAGATGCACAAACAATTCCTAGTCTAAGTATGCATTACAGTGGGATGTGGAATTTAAAAGGGAACAGATAGATCCCCTAAATATACCTTATCACATATCTCTTAAAAATGTAGCCATCAAACTCTCAAGAAGACTCAAAGATAATACGGATACTCTGCCTTCAGGGGGTGTCTAGACGTGTAATTAAACTCTCTCCATGGTCCTAACAAAAAACTGTGTCATTGTGTAATGAGAGCTACTACATTGCAATTTGGTTTAATTACAGCTCTGCTGTGTTCGATGGGCTGTGTGTGGTTAATTGATAATGTCTCAGGAGTTGGTAGGAGGAAGTTTGAATCTCTTTAAAAATCTAACAGGACACAGAAGAACCAGTCATTAAGGAAAGAAAACAGTGTTCTGGCTACAGCTTTCCTATTGGGAATGAAAATTAAACCGCATGGATTTGCTGTTTTCTGTTCTTCAGAAAAATTTAGAATTGATACACATGAATTTAAGTAAGAATGTCAACGTGATCGTTCCATGTTTGTGCCACATACGCTTTGGACGCCTGCCACTCACGTTGTATTTACCTTTGAGAATATATATATATAAATATATTCATATATATATATACACACATACATATATATATATATATATATATATATCTTCAAAACTGTCCACATAGGGGAAGTGTCTTCCATGGCCTGACCAACATCACTTGGTCAGGACATGTTGTATGCCTTGGTCCCTCCTCATCCCAATTCTGGGATCACTGTCATTTTACCTATTTCAGAGTCACCATACACTTCCTTGCTAGATAGCCTTGAGCAATTTCACACGCAGATATGAATTTCACCTGTCTGTTACTTTCATTTACATTGTCATTTACATAATTACTTTCTTGGTCTTGATTGGCCCTACTATGCCATTTAGCACCCCCCCCATTAACGCATTATGCCTATACTTCTAAACCACAGGGTAATTCAAGAAAGGCCTGAGGTGACAGCACAAATAATGAACTTCAAGCTGAAATCTCACACCTACAAATTGAAGAATAATTTCCCCCAGAATAAAAGTTCAAAGTTCTTTAAAGCGAACCCCTAATTTGTGTTTTGCTGTCTCTCTGAGATGACTGTTAATATGCAGAAGCCATGGTGTGATTATTCCCATGTCATGATACATATGTAGTTCACAGAAAAGGAAGATTCTGGAAGCTGGGCTGAGGGGCAGGTACGTAAAGCCTGTGCTGTGCACATGTGGGGACCTCGTGTGTGCCCTTAGAAGCTGCATCTATTACTCTCTGCTCCTGTACTAAGACATGCACAGACATAAACATGTGTGACTAATATGCACACAGAGAGAGATATACTCATGCATCATACATGCATGTTGTGGATTTGGTTCAATGCTTGCATTATGAGTTCTCAGACTTCACGAGAATACTGCATGTGAGACTCTGAGGGTCCCTGCCCCCAGCTGGTTCTAACTGGTAAATAAAGTTGTCATCAACCAATAGCTGGGCAGGGAGACAGAGGCGGGACTTTAGGATTCCCAGGCAAGGGGACCAAGGAAGAAGCAGAATCACCATGCCAGGAAAGGAATAAGATGCAGGCTGGAAGGCTGCAGAAGACAGTGTAACAATCATGTAGAAGCCTGGGAAGAGTGGCTCAGGGGATGCCCATTGGGCCTGGGGTAGCAAAGATGGAATATAGATTGTAGTAAGTAATAATTCAGGAGTGTCAGAGGGGAGGCATTAGCAACGTGGAAGTTTGGGAGTGGCTCAGTCATTGCATTTTTTAAGGCACATTAAAATAGAAGGTTGTCTGTGTGTCTTTCATTCGAGAACCCAGAGCATTGATTGGGGCATGGTAGTGAGGAACTTGCACAGCCATGCTGGGGAGATTAGAGTGGATTAATCAACTATAACATACGCACACATCAAGCACACACACACACACACACACCCCATACATGCACATAGACAAAGACATGCATACACACTTATACATACACATCTTACACATCTATTGCCTTTCATTCCCCCCCCCCGAATTTACCACTCCTCCATTAAGACGTTAAGTCTATTTTTTCTTCTTTTAATTTGGTAGAATTTTAAGTTACTTGGAACTAATGGGAGTAGAGAGAATTTGACTTCCAAGGTTAAATCATAAAAAGCCAAAGTGATCTCCATGTTCTGTGGGACCTTTGTTGGATCCCTGAACTGCAGTGATAAAAGTAGGATGTTCCTAAACTCTCCAGGACATATGATGGATACGCTGCACAGCAGGTAACATGGGTCAGTCAAGTTTAGGCTTTCTATTTGACAAACCCACCACCCAGGTCTCATGCAACAGACATAATAATGCCAGAAATGCGAGTGGAGTCAATCTAGGTGACTGATTCATTCTTCCAGACATCAGGCTTCCAAACATGTAGTCTCAGCCAAGATCATGGATATTGCAGAACAGGGATAACTACCATGTCCACTATGTCATGTTTCAAGGTCTGAATTAAAGAATATACATGCATTACAAAACGGTTGCTTCAAAATGATAGTCTGAGGGCTGGAGAGAAGGCTAAGCATTTAAGAGCACTTGTTATTCTTCCGAAGGTCAGTTCCCAGCACCCACAGCAGGTCATGACTATCTGTAATGCCAGATCCAGGGGATTTGATACCTTCTGGCCTCTGTGGGTACTTGCATGCACATTCACGAGTGTGTGCTTTTTCACAGACATAAATAAATGGTAATGAAAGCCTATTTCATTATTTTTATGTGTATGGGTGCTTTGTGTACACACATGTCTGTGTCCCACATGAGTGTCTGGTGCCTATGGAGTCCAGAAGATGGCATCTGAGGCCATGAAACTGTTAACTGTCATGTGGATGCTTGGAATTGAAGACAGA